TTGGAGAATTACTAAAATAGTCTTGATAAATGATTTTTTTTTTTATGATTTTGATGTTTTTATTTCATAATTACTCAAACACTTTTCAAAAAATTTTAAACTCGGTTTTGTCTTTATTTTCTTTGATAACAAAAAACGTATTTACTAAACTGCCATTAATGAGTTTCCCGCCAAAAACAAATAAGCCTACCCCTCACGTGATGGTAGACATATTGTTGAATGATAGATTTATTTAGGTAGATTTATTTTTATGCAGTGATAGATTTATTCCGATGTGATGGTAGATTAATTGCTCGTACTAGATTTAATTGTCTTCATGGTAGATTTAATTCAGATATAAATAAGTCTACCATCACGACGATCATTAAGTCTATGATCGTCGTGATGGTAGACTTATTACTCTCCTTGGTAGTTTTACATTTATTGATCAGTAGACTTATTGATTGTTAGCGATGGTAGACTTATTTATAGTGGCGGTAGATTAATATTATATGGTAGACTTCTTACTTTCTTTGGTAGATTTATTCAATGTTTGCAGGTCTTTACTACAACAAATCTACCAATCTTTGGTAAATCTACCATTATGATGGTAGACTTGTTTGCTATATTGAGTTACGATAGACTTGTTTCTTAATATTGAATGACGATATACTTGTTTAGATTCGGATAAGCGTACGAGTAGATTTAACAAAAAAGCGGCATGGTAGACTTGTTTGTAGTAGGTGTAGACTTGTTTAGATTCGGCATGGTAGACTTGTTGTGGTAGGTGGTAGACTTGTTGCAAAATCTCTGTTTTGCCTTCAGACTCACCTTCAACGGTGAAGAACTAGGGTATCCGCCGCCATAGCTTGTTTTCTTCATTGACGAACCTCCTCTCTTGAATATCAAATTCTTACCTCAACCCTTACTTCTTAAACTCTATATTTGGTTGATTTGCAATGGAACAAATAATTTTGGTTTGTGGCAGTTGGAGTTTTCTGAAAAATCGATGGATCTTTTTTGTTGATAAGTCAAAAGGGTGTAGAGTTATAGGGGCAGATCATGCAACCTCGTATGAGGAATTCCTTGCTATGGTGTACGAAGATTTTGGCCTGGATCAACGGTTTGTTGAGGTAAAGTTGAGTTACATGTGGGCAAAGAAGTATTTGGCAAAATTACCTCTAGAGACACCACCATTGTTTGTTAGGAATTCAAGACAATTGAATGGGTTTTTACAACAATTAAAGATAGACCCAATTCGACTGTGCGTGGATATTGTGGAGAATGAAGAAACAAATCCAAAAAAAAGTGATGGAATCGGCACAAATGAGAAAAACGCAACAAAAGC